TCCGAGGTGGCCTCCTTCTCTGGTGCCTTCGGGCCTTCGGCCACGAGGATGGGGTACACCGTGGGTGTGTGCGTGTGTGTGTGTGTGTGTGTGTGTGAGTGTGTGTGTGTGTGTGTGTGTGTGTGTGTGTGTGTGTGTGTGTGTGTGTGTGTGTGTGTGTGTGTCTGTGCTTGGGCATGGCGTGTGTGTGTGTGTGTGCTTTTCTAACCCCTGCCATGCTTCGGGCGTCCTTCTCCGCGCCGCACCTCTCCAGGTTCTTGCACTGGAGGCTGCCCAGTCGGAGATTGATTTCCTCCGGGCCGCCATCGAGCGCATCATCGAAGAAAGCCGAGCTCTGAACAATGCTTTCACGGCCCAGTGCGTGCTGTGGCCCGGCCCATGCCTCCGCCTTTTCGACATGCGTCCGCCTGGCGCCCCACCCGGCCCGGCCCTTGGCGGGTTGTTGGTGCCGCGCGGCCCCAATTGCGCGCCATTCCACTGACACACATGCTATCGCACCGGCTCGTCCCCCGCGCCCTCGCCGGCGTACATATGCACACACAAAAACACACACACACACACACACGGACACACCCCCGCACATTGGCAGTGTCGAATCCATGCGGCGCTTCCATGCCCGGTCGATGCAGGAGGCGCACGCCCGCATGGCCGGCATCCTGGCCTGCCGCATGGAGGACACCGCACGCCAGTCGGTCGTGTGCCAGCGGCTGGTGGATTTGGAGATGGCCGCCATGGGGCACGCCAGTATCCTGGGCCTGTCCCCGCCCAGTGGCAGCCTCACCACCAGCCCGCAGAGCCCGGGCCAGGCGGCGGCGGCCGGAGGCACGACATCTTCCGGCCGCCGCGGCCGCGGGGCCGCAGGCCTTTCCACCTCGCCCTATGACAGTGCTCGCGACCGCTTGGCGGCCATGCCGGAGGGCTCCGAACTGCAGGACATCTCCCAGGTGCGTGTGTGTGTGTGTGCGCGTGCGCGCCAACAACGGCCGCCGGGGGGGGGGGGGACCTTTTCTTGTGGGTTGTTTTTTTTTTGAGGGGCCAACTGCCCTGTGGCACTGGTGGCCTGCCTTCTCCGGGGGCCCCCCGGGGCGGCCATTGCCGCGGGACGCTCGGCCTTGGGACTGACCGAAGAGTTGCCTGCCTTCTGTCGGGGCTTTTTTTTTCCCTCCCCCCATGGTCACCGATCCCCTTGTCCCGCGGCGCCATATGCCCCCATGTACACCGGCGCCCCGGTGGCCATCGACCCGTGGCGCATGTGTGCTGCCCCGCCCCCCCCCCCCCCTCCCCTCCCCCCCTGGCGGGCCACGCCACGCATTGGTACACAGCGCGTCGGAGCGGCCACCTCCGGCAAGCAATCCTCCCGCCGGGTGCAATCCTTCCGCCTGCCCTCGACATCGGCCATCGCCTCGGCCACGAGCATCCCCCTGGCCAGCATCTTCGGCAGCACCGAGTCCAGCTCCAAGTCCAAGTCCCACGCGCGGTCCTCCTCGGCCGGGAGCGCCAAGTCCTCGGCCAGCACGTCGCCGAGCGCCGGCAATGCCGCGGCCGCCCCCTACGGCTCGGCCACCATGCCCATGGCCTGCGGCTCGGACACCACCACCACCACCAGCACCACCACCTACACCGGGCCTCTGGCCGGGGCCGGAGCCGGCCGGGCCCACACCGCGGTGGCGGCCTTCAATCCGCCCTCCTCCGGCGGCGCGAGCCAGGCCATCTCCCCGAGCTCCTCCAATGCCGGGTCGCTGGTCCTTTCGCCGCCGGACCGGGCCGGCTCGGCTCTGTCCATGTCCGGCCCGTCGGCCAGCGGGTCCAGCTCCACCGGCGCCTCCTCCAACATTTCCCTCGCCTCGGTGTCGGTGACGTCGGCCTCGTCGGCCACGGCGGCCGCCGGCGCCCACGCGGCGGCCATCGGGGCCACCGAGGCCGGCCTCTGGCCGGAGGGGTCCCCGGGCTTGGCATATGTCCAGGCCCTGGAGCGGAATGTCGAGTCGGCCCGGAACTCCATGTACTTCCTGGGCATGGTGCTGGACAGGTGCGCCTCCGGCCCCACGCGTGCAACACCCACCCCCCGGCCCACATGCATGCCCCCTTGTGGCGCCGCATGTGCGCCACACCCGGCTCCCTCCCGAGAGGGCCGTTGACTAACTCTTCGCCACTTGTCCGCCATCACTGGTGGGGGGGGGGGGGGGGGCCGGTCGCCCGCGGGGGGTTCCGGGCTCCGGTCGGGGGATCCAGCAAAAACGCCCGGCTCCGCGAGGTGGAGCTCCAGCTGGCCGACATGCTGAGCCCCGGGGCGCGGGCATCGGCCGAGGTCCTGGCCAACATGTCCGGGCCCACGCCGCTGACGGCCCTGTTCCGCGAGCTGCCGGCCGGCGTGCAGACCGCCAGCGAGCTGGAGCAAGCCATCATCCTCGGCGACCCGGGCCTGGACCCGGCCCGGCACCCGATCCTGGCCCAGCCGCCGGGCTTCGAGCGGTCGGAAGTCGGCCGGCTGGCGGCCAAGGCGGCGGCCGGCGCCAGCATGGCCCCCTCGGATGCCGGGGCCGCCGCCTGGGCCGGCGCCACGGCCGACGCCTACCTGACGGAAATGCGCCGGGTCTTCCGCCGGGCCGATGCCGCGCGGGCGCGAGCCGACGCGGCGGCCCTCCGCCGGACCCGGTCCGTCGGGGTGTCCACCGACGAGTCGACCATCGTCACGCAGGAGCACCACGGCCCGGTGCATGAGGGCCTGGCCGGCGGGGCGGCCGAGCCCGGGGCCATGCTCGACAGCGGCTCCGCCCCGGTGGCGTCTGTCGGGCTGGCTGCCATGCCCGGCGGCCGCCCGGCCGGGGCTACCGGGCTGCTGCCCGGCCGTCGTCGGACGCTGGGCTCGGACTCCGCCCGGCGGTATGCCTCCTCGAGTGTGGCCCTCCCGCGGTCGCCGGCCGGGCCGAGCTCCCCGCAGGGCGGCCCCCCCGAGGGCGGCCCGGGCGCCGGCAGCACCACCACCACCGCCGGTGCCAGTCGCATCAGCCTCAGTGAATTGTCCCGGGCCCATAGCAGCTCGGCCGGCGCGGGCCATGGGGGGACGCCCGGCCGGGCTCGCTCGAGCATCGCCCTCCGGTCGGCCTCCAGCCCCATGTCCCCGTCGGGGCATGGGTCCTCGCGAGCCGCCGGCGCCGGTGGCTCGCGCGAGTCCCTTGCCAGCCTGGCCTCGGTGACCGGGCGCCGGCGGACCGGCGGCGGGACCTCCCCCGGTGGCCTGGGAGCCACCGGCGGCGGGGCCTCCTCCGGGTCTCGGCCCCGGTCGCCGGCGGCTCCGGCCAGCGCCCGGCGTTCGTCTGCCACCGCCCGCGCCGGGGGGGAGTCCCTCCTGGCGGCAGACCGGGCCTTGAGCAGCGACTCGGCCCTCGCCCTGGGGGGGGCCGGCCAGGGGGGCCCCTCGGCGGCCGGCTACTCGCGACCGAACTTCAGCTCGGTCGCCCCGTCGGCCGCTCGGCGGGCCGGCAGTGGCGCCGGAGGCGCCAGCGGGGCTGGCAACACCCCCGGCGCCGGCACCGGCGCCAATTCCGCGGCCTCCGAGGAGGCCGGCACCGCCGGCGGCCGGATGCGCACGCGGGAAATCCTCCCCTCCGGGGCCGGGACCGAGTCCTTCTCCCCGGCTTGGGGCGAGGCCGGCTCGCCCGCGGCCGGGGGGGCCCCGCTGGCCGATGCCGACCCGGTGGCCCTCATTGACGGGGCCGATCCGCGACTCGCGGTGCACCTCACCGGCGAGGGGGCCACTCCGATGGCTGTCCCGGGCGGCCGGCGCCCGGCCAGCAGCTCGACCACCTCCCTGCGCCTCTTCCGGGCGGCGCCTTTGGCCGCCGGCGGGCGCGGCGGCGCCGGGCCAGGCCAGCTGGCCGCCGGCGGGCAGCCGCCGGCCCGGGCCCCCGGGGGGGACCGCGTGCGCTTGACCGCCTCCGCATCGGCCACGGGTCTGACCATGGCCGGGGACTTGGGCCTGGCGCCACGGCCGGCGGCTGAGGTGCCCATGCTGCCAGCCACCACCTCGCTCAAGGCAGCGCCCCCGGTGGCCGGCCCGGCCGGTGCCTGGGTGGATGGTGTGGGCGGACCGCCGCCGCTGCAGCAGCGGGCCTCCGCCGCCGGCGCCGCCGCCGGCCGGGGCCTGGCCCTCGGTGGGGCCTCGGCGCCGGCGGCCGACCGCGGCCCCGACACCGATGGTGGCCGCTCGACCCCCGGCCAGCCCATGTCCCCGATGGTCGGGGGGGCGGCTGCTCGCGCGACCGGGGTCGCCCGTGGCGCGGACCCGGACTTCCGCGCCGCCGGAAGCACCCCGGATGCACTGCGGAGCCCCGCCGCGCCGGATGCCGGCGACGAGGCCACCCCCTTCAACCCGCTGCGACTGCTGCGCGATGTGGACACCAGCCCGGCTGCCACGCCCAGCACGGTTCGCCTGGGGGGCGGGGGGGCTGCCCATGCCGGGGACTATTTCGCTGCTCGGGAGGAGGAGCTCCATGCCTTGCCGGCTGCCGCGGCCGCCACCGGCCCGGCGGCTGGCGGCCAGCTGCTCTCAAGCGACTTCGACGAGGATTACGAGGATGATGCCGGGGGGGGGGCCGTGCCGCGCTTCGGCAGCCGCGATCGGTCATGGATCGAGGCGGCCGCCGCGCGTGGCCACCGGGCAGCCAGCTTCCACCTCCGCGTCAACCGCCAGCTCACCGAGCGCTTCTCCCGGCCCGGGTCCACCGACTCCGGGGTGGAAGTGGACCAGGGGCCGGGCCCGGCTTCGGCCCCGGCCCTGGTCCGACCCCTGTCCCAGGAAACGGACCTGGAGCTGGACGAAAGCAGCCCCACGCCCACCCTGCCGGCCCTGCCGACGCCGCGCATGGACGACTGGGAGGAGGGCCCCCAGTCCGATGGGCAGGGCCCCTTCGCCGACGAGCGGGCCACACGGCCCTCGGCCTCGCCGGCGGCGGCAACCGTGTACCTGCAAGACTCCTTCCACATCGTGGACGCCGCCGCCGCCGCCGCCGCCTCAGCCGCCGCCCATGGGCCGAGCCGCGCGGCGACAGCCCACCACACCCCGATGCCGGTCCTGCGCCGGCCCGCGCCCTCCACGCAGCAGCAGCAGCAGCAGCAGCAGCAGCAAGCCCGGCCGGGGCGCAGCCACCCGGCTCGAGATGCGGACGCCACCGGCCAGAGGGACATTTGACTCGGGCGGGCGCGCGATGATCCCTCCGACAAGTCTCCTTGTCGCTTTCCCGGGGCACCGGCGACGGCTGTCCCATGGGCGACCGTCGCCGCCCCGGCGGCCGGGGCCCGACCGGCAGCACCGGCCACCCGGTTGTCAGCCCTCCCCCCGGTGCCCGGCCGGCACAGCCCCCGTCGCGCACAGCCCGTCCCCTCGTCAGCGCGGCCGCCTCCCCCGGCTCCATGGCCCTTGCCGCCCTGCCGGTCGACACTTCGCCCGGTGGCCGCACGCGATGTGGCGCCCCCCCCCCGGCGGCGGGCCGCCTCTCCGTCTACCTGTCTCCCGGCCGGCCGGCCGGATGGGCCTCCCCCGCCGCGACCGCCAGACCCGCCTGGCCCCCGGCGCCCGGCAGCATGCTCGGCCATGGCCATGGCGACACCCCGGCTGACGGTGGTGCCGCCCGGCATGGTGGCCGACCGAGTGTCCTTGCTGTCGGCCCGTGCGGCGGCCGGACCACACTCGCCAGGGCGCGACACCCGGCTGGACCGGGCCTTGGTGGCCGACCGGCCGCCAGCATCGGTGCCCCCGTCGATGGCGGCCCCGCCGGCGGCCTCCCTGCTGCCAGAGCACCCCATGGCGGCAAGCCCCCCCCCGGCGGTCGACGTCCTCGCGCGTGGGCCACCCCCCATGGAGCCGGCGGAGATGCAGCAGCCGGCGCTTTCATTGTCGCCCCTGCTTGGGCTGGCCCCGGCTCGGGCGCCCCATCGCCCGGATACCCCGGACCGTCTGGCGGTGCAGGGGCGGCCGGTAGGGCCGCCGACATGTCAGCCGCCCACTCCGGCCGCCCTGCCGCCGTCGCCGCCCGGCGGACGCCGGCCCTGCCACGGCGGGCCCGGGTCGTCGGGGGGGGCGCCGCAATGGCAAGCAGGCCGGTTGCCATCGTCGCCACCGATGTCCCCGTCGCTCGCAGAGCCACCCGCCGGCGGCAAGGCTCAGGCCGGCCCCCGGCAGCCGGCTCCCTCGGCGACGGAGGCTCGCTCCCCGGCGCCGCCGGCCCCCCGGACATGCCCGGAGTCTGACGCACCCTCGAGATGTGCCAAGGCATCGCCCTCGCAGCAGCCCCCGATGGCGGTCGCGGCGAGCATCGCGCCATGGCGGCCCCCGGAGGCGGCCTGCCGGCCGGCACCTGCCTCGCCCTGGCCCCACCAGCGTCCCATGGTGGCCCCGAGCCCGTGGTCGCCGCCGCTCTCGCCGACGTCCCTCCCCGCTGCCACTCCCCCCCCTGAGGAGGACCTTCCTGCCCCGGCGTGCCAGCCCCCGGCCCCAGTCCTCCCAGTGCCCAAGGGGCTCCTCCTCCTCCTCCCCCCACCGGCGCCGGGGAGGGTGGACCCCTGCCAGGATGTGATCCTGCAGCCCGCCGGCCCATCGGTCAAGACGTGGCGGCCAACCCCCCCCGCCATCCCGCCCAATGCTATGCCGGCTTCGTGCCAGCCTCCAGCGCCCCCGACGGGGCTTCTTCCCTCCGCGCCGGGCTCCCAACGGCCGGCCGGGCAGCCGGCGTCCCCACCCGGCAGCTGGCCATGCCCATGGTATCCCCCGGGTTGGGTGGTCCTCGGCCCGGGCCGCCGTGTGGCCCAGCCATACTCGCATGACTGGTCACCGCCATCTTTGCCGCCGGCCATCCCCGTGCCTTTGGCCGGCCTCACTGTCCGGGACTCAGCATGCGCGCCGCCAAGTGCGGAGGAAGTAGATTAGCTTGCTGATCTTGTATTTTGCGTGTGTGTGTGTGTGTGTGTCCACACGCGCGCGTGGTCGTGTGTCTCGCACACCTTCTCATCCCCCTTTTCTTCATCTTAGAATAGAGATAGCTTTTTGCAAGGAGCAGGGCGTACACCCCATCCGACACCCATGGGCCGTGGTGCCGTCCCCCCAGCAGCAAGGGAGCCGTGTGGGCTCTGCCGGTGTGGCTGCCGGGTGTGGCTGCGGGTGTATGGACGGACGTATGGGCGGAGGGGGCCGGCCTGGCGTGGAGGCTCGCGAGGCAAAATACCGCCTGCGAGCAGTGCCGCTGGCAGGGCGAGGCGTGCAAGGTGAGCCAGCAAACGCCCACGAGGAGAGCTCGCCTGCACATATGCCCCTGGAGAGCAAGGGCATGCCATGCCGGCCACCGGGCCGGCACGGTTTTGCCCCTCGGGGTAGCTGCCCATCCTGAGGATGACCCTTTCGATCGGGCAAGAGAGTCGGGCCCGTGCCTGAGGAGGACTCGATCGGGCTCGGGGAAAACCCGGCAGACCCGCAGGCGCTCCCTCCTCCCCCGAGACCGCCCCCCCCCCCCTGCCCCTCTCGCCCGCCGTCCCTGCTTATCCATGCCGCCGATGTGAGTCCCCGAAGCAGGCCCGATGCCATGGCCTTCTGACACCCCCTCGCCCATGAGTGAGGCCCAAAGGCCCGGCAGACGCTCGGGGTTTTGGTGGCCTGCCATGCATGCTTCGCTCGCCGCTCGACTGCCATCCTCCTACAAGGGGAAAGGCGGCATGCCCGAGTATACCGCGCGCGAAGGGGCCAGGGGATGCGCGCACAGCACATCAGACGGCAGGGGAGACCCTTGCCCCCCCCCCCCACACACACACTCGCACGCGACAGGGTCTATTGTATATTTTGGCCAGGAGCTTTCGCCAGGTGCCAAAAGTTGGCGTTATTCCTTTTTTGTAGGGGGATCCGGGGATCGAGAGACATTGCGGCCGGCCCCATTCCTTCCACCTGCGCGACACACAGGCAGCCACAACATATGCGCACATGCGGGGAACAACCAGCGGGTAGCTCAGCCGGAGGCAAAAAAAAAAGCGACAAGGAGTGTACACGGCCCCGACCAGGGACAGCCTCCAACCGGCTGCCCGAGGACAGGCAAGAGAGGCCAGGCCGATCGGAGGGGCGGGCGGGGGGAGGTCGCCCCGGTGAACGACACACACTTAGAGAGCGAAAGGCAAAAATGGGGAGACATGGAGCCGCCCCCTGCCAGGGCATATATGTCTCCACAGCCGAGGTGCGCATGGCAGGGCCACGCGCGCCCACCGGGGTGGGAATTCCACTTGCGAGGGCCTTCCCCGCTCCCCCGCCCCCCTGGGGCTGAGCCCGTCGAGGCGCCCCTAGACGGGGGAGGCCAGGGGGGGCGCGGGCGCGGGGATCGATCAAGGGTGCTCCGGGGCCCGGGTCGACGACGATGACGAAGCCATGGCCACGCCGGCCGCATGGTGCTCGCTCAGGTGCTGGAAGGGCCGGCCGGACTCGCTCTCGAGCCAGGGCCACATCTTGAAGTCCAGCTGGCTGATGGCCTCCAAGTGGACAAAGTGGAAGACAAAACGCGGCACGCAGGGCACCACCAGGAGCGTGTCCTCGCGGAGAGCCGGCCCGGCCGCGCTGCCCGGGCCGCTGGAAGGCACGAACTTCAGGTCGAACAGGCGCGACATCTCGCCCAGGGAAATGGTCTCCACCGTGGCGGCTTGCGCAGGCGTGCCCCCCCCGAGGCCGCCGCCGCCGCCGCCGCCGCCGCCGCCGCCGCTGATGGACGAGAGCTCCGTGACACAAGTGTGCTCCAGGCCGGAGCCCCCGCCGGCGTCCAGATCGCCCCCGCCGGGCCCCGCTGGCGGCGGCGGCGGCAGCTCCGACAGGGTGTTGCTGGCGCTGGCGCCGGGCCCGGTGAGCAGGGCCGAGCAGGACACCCGAGACCCGGGGCCGGGCGCCACGGCCGTCGGCCCGGGCCCGGTGGCACCCCCCGGGCTTGGGCTGTACACCGCCGCTCGCGAGCACAGCACCGCGAAGAAATCCAACAACGACCGGCGAACCCGGTGCTCGAGGTTGATCTCGAGCGTGGCCCCGACGCGGATGAACTTGGACATGATCTGGGCCGCCTCAACCAGGCGTGTTTTCTGCCGGGCCACCGCGGCCATTCCCCGCGGCCGGGGGCGTCCATTCGGGGGCAGGAGCCACGACCATGGCCGGGGGGCGGGGCGGGGGGGACGAGTCAGTTTTCCGGACACACATCGGCTCATGAGAAGCAGGACCCTGTCCCCCTCCCCCGGGGGGGGGGCGCGCGGGCCAACGAATGCCGGGCCGGCCTCGCCGGAGCACAGCCCCCCCCCCCCCCCCGGGGAGCCGGCACCCGCGAGGCCGCATGCCCTGGGACGACGCACCTTGCTCCAGGAGTTGTAGGAATTTTCGAAGCGCGCACATTGGCGCACAAAAAGCAGAATCTCCAGGCACCAGGACTCGGAGCAGAACTGCTCGAAGCGCCGCATGGCGATGATCCCATCGGCCGAGATATTTTGCCCCTCGCGGCTGGTGGCCCGATCGCGGAAGATCCACGAAAAGAGCCCCCCGGCAGCGCCGGCCCCCCTGCGGCCGGGCCCCCGCCCCGGCGGCGGCGGCGGCGGCGGCGGCGAGCCGGACCCGGCGGCGGATCCCGCCCGAGACAGGCCGGCCGACGATGGCGCGGCGGCGGCGGCGGCGGCGGCCTCGCGAGCCCGCTCCAGCCGCGTCTGCGAGTAGAAGCACTCCAGGCGCAGGTAATTGCCAAAGCGGCAGGCCAGGCCGGCTTCCAAGTCGGCGGCAGCCGCACCGCGGAGGGCCAGCTCCGACGCCCCGGCAGTGCTGCTGCTGATGGTGGAGAGGGCCGTCGACGCGGAGCGCGACATCGGGGCCGGCATGCCAGCCGCCTGCCAGCCCAAGGCCCGCCGGCGCCGGTCGACCCCGGCCAAGTCCCCGGAGCTGAGCGGGTCGTGGCCGCCCCCGGCGCCCCCGCCATGCATCGATGGCCTGGGGGTGCTGCTTGCCGCGTCGACGCCGATGGCATCCGGGCGCGGGCCGAATGGCCCGCCGGATGGGCCTGCCGCCGGGGCGCCGGTGTCGGCCGGCGTGCCGGCCGTGACGCCAGCCAGGGCCCCGGGCCCGCCGCCCGTGAGCAGGGGATGCCGGAGCCCGGCCACGCGCTGCTGGGCCGACATGCGCTGCTGCCGGCGCTCGGCCACCTCACGCCGGTGGATGGCCGCCACCGAGGACTCCAGGGGGGTCGGGTCGCTGGGGGTGATGCAGGTGATGGAAGACCCATCCGGGGTGTGGGCCGCCGCGCAGGTGGAAATCCCGGTGGCGATGGCCGCCGCGGTGTCCACCTGCAGGTGAGCCGGCCGCGCCAGCGGCCCGCTGCCAGCCGGCCGGTCGACGTCCCCGCCGGCGCTGGCCCCCGCCTCCACATGGCCGAGGGAGGCACTGCGGCTGCGTCCGGATCGGCCGGCCGGCTTGCCGGCCAAGTGGGGCCTGGCGTCCGGCAGCGGGGGCACGCTCTCTTGCCCGAGGATGGGCTGGGGGAAGGGGTCCTCCGGGGGGGCGCTTGGCCCGGCATCCCGGGCCCCAGCATGCGCTGGCAGAGGCCCGAGCTCCAGCGAATCCCCCTGGCCGGAGGAGCGGGCGCAGGCGGGCTGCCTGGCCGCCAACTGGGTCGCGCCGTGGCCGGCCAGGAACTCCGGCCAGGGGGCCGCCATGCCCGGCGACCCGGGGGCATCCATGGCGCCGGCCCCACGGTCCAGGGAGAAGGCCGTCTTGCTGGCGGTCGAGCGGGCATCCCCCTCCCCGTCGCTGACAGGCGCAGGGGACCCGCCCTCGCCGGCGGTGGACCGGCCCTCCGGGTCGGCCAACTTCTCCGCATGCATGGTCGCCTCCCTGCCACCGAGGCGGAGCCCGGAGCGGACACGGCCGGGGAAGAGGGCGGCCAAAGGGGAAGGCCCTTTCCGGGTCAGTTTCACCGCCACGCGCCACCAGCCTACAAGCCC